GCTTTCCGAATTCCTGATCCTTTGTATGTGATGTGATTCTTCTCCAGGGCTTTTTTTTTTTCCTTTTTATCTTTTTTACTGACTGGTAAAAGCTTTCCGAATTCCTGATCCTTTGTATGTGATGTGATTCTTCTCCAGGGCTTTTTTTTTTTTTCCTTTTTATCTTTTTTACTGACTGGTAAAGGGATCGCAACCCTTGGTGTCACGCCCACACCGGGGACCGGCAACGGGATCGCAACCCTCGGTGTTGCGCCTGCACCGCGCTCAACCAGTGAGCGGGAACCGGCCCCCACATGGGATCCGAACCCTCGGTGAGAGCACCGCCACACTCCCAGGCGGCGCACTCTCCAGTGCGCCACCGGGCCGGCCCTCCAGGGCTTTTTGTCTTTAGTTTTTAGCAATGTGATTATGATGTGTCTGGATGTGCATTTCTTTGGGTTTATCCTGGTTTTGGTTCACTGAACTTCTTGAATCTAAAGGTCTTTTGCCAAATTTGGGAAATTGTTAGCCATTATGTCTTCAGATAGTTTTTGAGCTCTGCTCTTGCTTTTCTTATCTGGGACTCAGATGACATAAATATTAGACCTTTTGGGGCTGGCTGGTTATCTTAGTTGGTTAGCATGTCTTGTTATAACAATGATGTTAAGGGTTCAGATCCCTGCACGAGCCAGCCACCCCCCCCCAAAAAATTAGAGCTTGTGCTATTGTCCACAGGTCCCTTGAGGCTCTTTTCTTAGAAGCCATTTACTTTCTACAAAGAGGAATCTTGCATCCTTCTGCCAAAGTGGTATTTTACAGTGGGCAGCCGAGGAAAGGGGACAAGGCTAGCTGATATACTTAACCATGTGGAAGGTAGGACTCATGAGGGATACTCTGGGGGAGTTGGGGTAGAACTAGTATTAGGTACAAGGAAAACAAAAACACTGAAAAACAATACAGGGAAGCTCCAGAAAAGATGTAGTTTTAGTGCATCCATCTGCTCAGCATTGAATATTTCCATAGGTGTAACAAAACACTGAATATTAATTTACTAAGGATGTGGTATAGTTATGCTGGGAGAATAAGGAAAGGGGAAGCAGGGCTGGTTGTGGAAAGAGGGAACTCCTGTCCTCCACGGAAGGAGGCCAATGCGTCTACGCAAAGAGTCAGACAATAGCAGTCTGGTGCTGTGTTTGGAAAATGGAAGGTAAAGATCGGAAGCACAGCAGCTCGCGTTGAAAGCATTGCTTCTGAGTGCATCAAGGACTGCTGCTTTTTGTTTGGAGGCCTTGTAATACTCTGGCTTCCTAGACTAAGGACATGTGCAGAACTTTGAGTCTCAAGAAGCCCTCAGGAAGGCTTAGGGGAGAGGTTGAATATTCAAGAGTGTGGGGTAATTGGAGGTTTGGTTTCTGAGGTGGTGGAATGAGTTGGAATCCAGAACGGCAGGTGGAAGCGAGCCTCTCGGTGAGGAGGATCAGGTCAGAGCTGACAGTAGGAGTGCTCTCCCTTCCCAGGAGTCTCACGTTTTCCTTGGGGAGAACACTTTCTGATTTGAAATCAGAGAAAACAACTTCCCACAGCTATTCTCAAAGTGTGGTCTGTAGAGCCCTGGGGGACCCGAGACCCTTTCAGTGGCCCACAAGGTTCGAACTGTTTTCGTGGTAACATCAGATGTGGTTTGCCTTTTTTGCTGGTGGTGCTGACATTTGTGCTGATGGTGCACAAGCAGTGGTGGGAAAGCTGCTGGTCCCTCGAGTGGATCAGGGCCTTGGCTCCAAATAACTAGTTGTTTTCTCAGCTGCCAGTCATTTGAAGTTATAAAAAACCGTTTCCTTAAGATTGCCCTTGGTAAAGCAGTAAAACATATTCATTTGATTAAATTACAACCACTGCATGCACTCCTGTTCATATTCCACATGATGAAAGGGGAGGAGCACAGAAGGCGCTGAGCCGGTGGGGGAGGCGATGGCCGCTGGGAGCAAAGCACTCGTGACAGATGGGCCTTGCGCATCTGGCAGACATTTTCTGGAAAGTGAATGAGGCGAGCCTGTCCCTTTAAGGAAAACACCTGACACTGTTTAGTGCCAGCGATAAAATTTGAGATTGCAAATAAAAAATTAGAATTTGGAAACCTTATATCTGCCACTGTGAGTTTGGCAGCTTCTCGGTGTTTAAAGACTTTCCTGATGAGATCATGGTGATATTAATGAGTGTGGATTTTTTTTTTTAATATTAGGGAATGAAATACAGAAGATCTCCATAGCTCAGTGGACCAATATTTTCCAAGTGGCCAGTGCATGGTGACACACAATCACCTGTGGCTGAAAATCCATTCAGGGCTCTGCACAGCCCAGTGATGGAGTGTGACAACTTCATCAACAGGGTCTCAGATGCCACTTTATAAGTAATCTTAAAGAAAATATGACCTGTTGAGTTTTGGTGTGACCTGTTTGAGTTTGGTAGAAGAGGAGCCATGATTGTTTGAAACAGCTGTTTAAGATACTCTTTTTTTCTAATGACATAACATGCGTGCAAGGTGGGGTTTTCCCCACATACATCAGCTGAAACCACACACTGCAACAGATGGATGCAGAGGCAGGTAGAAGGGTCCAGCTGCTGTCTCCTAAACCAGATATTAAAGAGGTTTGCAAAAACGTACACTGCCACTCTTCTCACTAAATCTTTTTTGGAAAAAAATAGTTATTTTTCCTAATAAATATTCATGGTAAAATATAATGGGTTTGTTATTTTTACATTTTAAAAATAGTAAATCCATTGTATTTTAACGTGAATAAACAAATACTTAAAAAAATTTCTCATCTTAATTTCAAATATATAAATACTGACAGATACTACCACATAAACAAAAACTCACTGGGGTCCTCAATAATTTGAAAGAGTGTGCAGGGATCCTGAGACCAAATATGTTTGAGAACTGCTGGCTTAGAGTGTTTTGCTCTAGAAGCTGTTCCTGAAATAAATGGGTAAACTGTGGACATGTGTATATTTGGAAAACTGATGTTTTCTGGGAGAACTATCTGAGAGTATAGATGAAAATTATTTAAAATGTGTCACTTTTTGTCCTTTTATTCCTTTCTCCTGCTCCTACACACGAGAGCTGTAGTGTGGACACAAGGAAAGAATTCATATTGTTCTCACTGCGGGGCTTCCTGTATTCAGCATTTCTGTGCCAATAGAAGCACAACCTTTCTGCACAAAGCCTAAACAGGAGCACAAGAATATAACAGCAAGAGGGCAAGAAGACTACAGGTGCTGAAACACAAACAAACGTGGATGGAACTTAACAACCACTGTGCCAGTGATTTAAATAAAACCAGTTTTCATGGGTGCATGAGCTTGTTTGGATGCATCAGCAGTTCCTTAAATCTGGTTAAACACATAAACCTTAGGCCCTGTTGTGCCATCGTTAGTCAAAGGTGACTTTGAAGTGGGTTATATAAGAGGAAACTCTGTGAAAGAGAGATTTAGCAGAGGAGGAAATGCATATATAAAGAACTTTTTCCTTTTCGTTGCTTCCTCAGATCCTCTGTCCATGGGTCCTCAGAAAGCTCTGGAAACCATCGGTGCAAATTTACAGAAGCAGTATGAGAACTGGCAGCCGAGGGTAAGCTTTCTTTATTTGCTTTTCTCTTTCTTTCTTCAGTTCCTTGTTTTCAAACAGCCTTTGAATCCAACCGAGGATTCTCTGCAGGTCTTCACCGCACGTGGCTTGATGACGAGACACTTCTGCCGCATGCCAGCACGTCACCTGCTTGTTCATGGGCTTGCTGGCGTGTGTAGTGACAGCACATGTGTTATTGTGAGTCACGCAGTGGTATCCTCTTGTTTATTTTGCTTGCATTTTCCCCCAAAATCTTTAGGAAAGTATTCTTCATGTTACTCTTAAATCATAGTTTTTATTTTGCACAGGCAATGTATTTTTAATAACTTTCCTGCAACCTCAACCAGTTTGAGTTATTCCTCCTGTCTTTAATTTTCAAACAGTTGAGAAAAAAAAAGAACCCAGCATTCAAAAGATGACACCTATTATATGCTTTGTCTTTGATTCAAAAGGTAAGGTCCTTTTTAGGGAGTCAGTTACCAATTAGTGTGTCTTTTGTTGCTTATGTCTTAACAATTTTTGTTTTTTTATGAAAAGTGGCACAGAATATAACTGTGTCAAATTGCCTGTAAGATCTTAAGTTATTTGTAAACCACCCAATGACCTATTTCCTTTAGCCTTTCTCATTAAATGGTTTAAGGATTTAATAAATTTAATAGAAAATTAGAAATTTGGGGTGTTTATGGAGTTGCCTTATGTTCAGCTTTATGTGATGAGTGATTCTGGAATTGTCTAACGGAGTGTTTTGAAGAAGGTAGGTTAAGCAGGTGTCCATATCTGTGTACCTCCCGTGAGTTTTACTCCTCCCTTTTGGATATAAGCCTGATGTGAAATAAGACTTATAGAACCTGCTTCATACTTGCCTCCTTGGGCTTTTGTTTTTGTTTTTGTTTTTGTTTTGTTTTGTTTTGTTTTGTTTTTTGATCTCACTACCTTTTTGATCAAGTCTTTATTCAAAATAAGGTGTCCGAAATGATTTGACTTTTATGAAATAAACTTAAGAGTTTATGCAGCATGTTCCTTTTTTTCCGTGGAAGGAAGGTTTGTTTTCTGCTGGCTTCTTTTCAGCTGCTGGTTTTTTGGTGGCTGCAGCCTTTTCCCCCAAAGGCTTCTTCTGCTTCTTGACACCAGCAGCTTTCTTTCCTTTCTTCCCCATCACAGGCTTCTTGCCTGTGGACCCTTCTCATCTGACTTGGCCTTTAGTCCTACTGCCGCCTTATCAGTCTGGATCGTTTGATCCCTGGCCTGATGAAGAGTGGTGTTCCGGAACATGATCTTTGCAAGTGAGCTAAGCATCAACATGATTCTCAGGTTTTTCAGTAGATTCTTATTCAGGACCCTGTGATGGATCTTCTTGCGTGGTGCTTGGAGGGCTCTTTGCATCTCTGGGCCTGTTTGGGACATGATCTGGAATTTAGGGATTCCTTATACATTATTTACATTTTAGAGTAAGAGAATAGCCAGAAATGAATTTATTCCTGTTTTTAACAACGCCCTCAGGTAATTTCTGCTGTTGCTCATAGTAATGAGGTGACTAAATGTTAGGAAACATCTCTGTGTCTTAGGATGTATCTTTGTGCTTTGCGTTTCTAACTTTTCAAGTCAATAATAATGGATTTTTATTCTTTGGAAGGCAGTTTCTTAGTGGTTATTTTGACATACGCCTAAAGGTTTTATTTTTTCTTTCTCAAATTTGTTACCTCTTGATGGCTTATATAAAAATTCAGCAGCCTTTTTATTGACAGTGCAATGAATTTGGGTGTTGGATGAGGACTACTGAGATATTTTGATGGTGTATTCTTTTAAAAATAGCAGAAATGCCTAGTGTGTTCAGTAGAAAATAGCTTACTTAAGGTCTTTGAAGGTACTCCAGGACCTCAGCAGGCAGGACAGGCACTTAAAGGAGAGCGACGCAGAGTGGGGTGCTGGGAGACATGGTGTCACTGGCATCTGGGAGGCAGTTAACCAGCACTGTCTAGACTTAAAGGAAAGCCTTTCCGACTCAGTTACTTCTGGACATCTCCTGGGCTTGACTTTGTGCTTTCGCTTTTTTTCTGGATATGTTTGTTTAAAAAAGAATGTAACCAGATAAATGGAGATCTACCAATTGTGTTCTTCATAGAATGAGTCTCTGATGTTTTAATTTCTTTCTTCCTTTTAAAGAATTATTACGTAAGAAAATACAGTCTTTCAGAATACATATGTTTAATATTTCAAGATATTGTATGTTTATTTCATTTGGTATGGTATTATATGGTATTGTATTGGTGTGGTATGGTATTTGTATTGGTATTGTATGTTTATTTCATTTCATTTATTTTTATTTATAATTTTTTTTGAGTGCTAGGAGTGATTTACTGCTAGCTTTGTTATTAGTAGCTTGGTACGTGTCAGCTAGTTCATGCTAGCTGACAGTAAATGGAATTTTCTAATGTAGGATCTATTATTATTTCTAATCTAAATTTCTAAGAGCAGATCTCTTCCATGGCACCTGGAAGAGGCATTATGATGCTGTAAGGCAGGCAGCATCTACACGTGGGTAAATGGTTGCAGACACAAAGATGACAGTGTGGCCTCATGGCACAGGAGCGAGAATTCCCTTCGTGTGACGATGGTGTGGCTATCCCTGGACAACATGCACATGTATAAAGGGGCACAGTCTTCTGGGCAGATGGCCTTTAGTCTGGAAAAATTTGTTAAAGTTGGTGGGATTTCAAGATGGACCTGCAAAATTATTTTCTGAACAAGAGATAGTTTGGAGGCCTGATGAATGAGATGGAGAGTGTGTCAAGATTATAGCATGCTTAGGAAAAGGTACAAATGTACCAGTGCAGGTGGGATTCCATCTGGATTGGTTTACAAAGTGGAATCTGGAATACAGTCTCAGCTGCAGCCTAGAAAGCAGCTGTTTATGAAAACAGAGTGGGGTCTCTTGCCTCATTTAGGAAGCAAAATCACACAATGAATACTTAATATTTTCTTCTTGAATGCCAAGACTATTGCATTCATTTTTAAGTACTATAAAAATGTTTAAAAATTTCCTGCTACAAACCATTAGCGGGACTCATCTATTTCAGAAATGAGCCTAAGGTGGTGGATGTCACAAGATACCTCTTACTGGTTCACTGATGTCAAATGTGTGCCATATGCACCTGCTAATAACAGTACATGCCCCGGTGCCAGTGGCACACTTCTCTGCTCTTCATGCTTCACGTGGGTTCCAGAGAGAGGGAGAAAGGTCTGGCATCGATGGCAGCAGTTCTTGGTGTGTGCAGACCTCGTGCTGCCACACACAGTTTGCACAAAGCACACGGCAGTTACCAACCTCAGATGTTCATGTGTGAGGTGCTGGCTCCTAACTGTAAATCAGGGTCCTTTGAAGCACTGCAGAGCTAAACATTTACCACTTTATTGCACTCTACAGGGCTCTTGAGTTTCTGCAGTAATAAGGAGAGGTTGATATGCCATCTGCAATAAAACAATAGGAACGTTATTAAATTTCCTAGACCTTTGATGTAAAGACCCACAGATCTGGTTTTCTCTTTCTCTGTATCCTTTATTGCAAGACTCACAAAGGTTGGGCAATTTGCAATAAGGTCATTTTTATTAATGTTTGCCGAAATTGTTGCATGCCTCCACGTTGCTGTGGGTGGGAATGCCTTTTACCTCAACAGCAACTCCCATCTGGGCTGTGTAGAAAATTGACCACTGAAAATCTGTCAGCTGCATGGGAGTGGAGCCTTGAGGACCTGATGGTTTCCTTATTGGTGATAAATGCTTAGACTTTATCCTCCTTACTCTTCTAGCTTTAACTATTCAAGCTGAAATATTTTGATAGAAGTGATTCTGGTTCAAGAAGAAATTTAGAGAAACCATGACAATTATATATTTTTTTGAAGGCTGCCAGACTCTATCTGGCCCATATTTCTTTTCCAGGCCGATTGAGTCTTTTTCTAAATAATTTATCAGTTTGCCACTGGTGAAATATTTCTTCCGATTAAATTTAAGACTTTGCCTTATTACCTTGTAGGTGCATAAATTTGTGTTCTGCAGGGGATTGAAGGAAATGCCAACTGTTGTTTCAGCTGAAAATTCTGCAGTAAAACCATACTCATTTCATCATAAGTCTCAAATGAAGGTTTTATGGGGAGGTGGAAGTAGGGGATTATAAAGCTGGGAGTGTACAGTGAAGAATTTATCATGTAAGAATGTTTCTAACAAATTGGGGGTTCTGGCAGTTTAGTACAAAATCGTTAGGAGCCGGAGCCGACAGAAGAAAGAAAACGGCAGGAGTCCCCATCTCTGCTCTTCCCCAGAGAGAGAGAGCCACAGCTGAAGCACAAGGCCACAAGCCCTTGCTCGGGCTGAGTTTTAGTTCTTCTGGTGGCTTAAAAATGAGTTCATATGGGAATATTCGTGATTTACTAAGGTAGGTGAGGAAATTCGGTGAAACTTCCACTGCTGTCGAGTATCTGAAGTGACCTTGGACTGAGTCTATTTGTCCAGTGCATTTGTTTAGGAAAGGGGACAGAAAATGCCCCTCAGTTATTAGCACACTTTGCTGTAGGAGCACATTTTCATCGTGACCATGTCTGTGAGTGGGGAAGGCAGCAAGGAGTAGCCATGGGATCTCCAGGAGCTGGGTGGTCAGTATGAGTGAGTTTTGAGGTGCCCAGCAACTCGCAGTTGTCCACACACTGCAATGTTCTTTGAGTTACATTGAGTAGATTTTAAATTTCAGCCTCCCTTCAGTTCATCATGCTTCTCAGGTCTGTTGTAGTTGATATGTGGTCAAGGAATGAAAGTTGGTTTTATTATTAGATAAATATGTTTTTTATAGTGCTTCATGCACAGAAGTCCCCCTGCTTATCCATGGGGGATACGTTCCAAGACCCCAGTCGATGCCTTGAACCAAGGATAGTACCGAACGCCATACATACTATGTTTTCTCCTATATATACATACCTATCATAAAGTTTAATTTAAAAATTAGGACCAGCCAGCCACCAAAAAAAGGAAAGGAAAAAATATCAATTAGGCACAGTAAGAGATTAACAACAATAACTAAACATGAAATAGGACAATTACAGCAGTAGACTCTAATCAAAATTATGTGAATGTGGTCTCTCTTTCTGTCAAAGTATCTTATTGTCCTGTAATCACCTATTTTTTGGACTTTGATTGACCATGAGTAATTG